TGGGAGGAGACAATCGTTCTTCGAGTAATGGTAAGACGGTCTTTATTAAAACATTAGTTATTTTGCAATGCATGCGCAAATTTATGCAAACAGGGATTTAGTATACCGAAAGCTAAAATTGACATTCAAAGATCTGATCGAGTCATCTCCACCCGGCAAACTGACGGTAAAAGCTGATCTCATACTTCTTCGTCTAGGGGATGCAGGGCACGAACTATGAATACGACCATTGTATTTGGCTACTCTAATTTAAATTCATTTTGATGCACCGCTTTAAATTAGCCCGATACTTGAGTAAAGGCGTACCACCGGTTATGACATCAGTAAGAATTACATACTTGAGTCCATTAGGAAGCAACGCTAACGTTCGTAGAAAATAATGAAATATAACTGCATTCAGCAACGCAATCTCCAACTTCAATCATGCTACTTTGGTCAGCCAAATATCAAAACTCTGTGCCCTGGACACTGAAACAGTATCATGGCAGATAAAATCTGTTCTAGGTGTCCAACACTAATAGATTGCGTATGAATAAATCCACTGCTTATTTCTTTGATGGAGTCATTGCTCAATCAACGCAGCAGTTAGTTTAGTGGCATTTGTAGGGCCTTGACATCACCTTTGAAATGTTCACGTAACATTGATGTTGCACCTTTAGCAATGTAATGTATGTCAGAACTGTATACACTGTTAAAACTAACAGAACTTTAAGGGATTTTCTCCTATTCTTGATTCGTTTGTTGACTGGGATCGTTGGTGCTGGTGTTGCACTAATGCAGACGTCGCTAAAACCCAGCGACACCGTGTTTCAGTCGAGTTAGGGGTCACCCATCCCCTGTGACAGACGGCAGCACATCAAATTAACTCGTATTCAACCGAAACTTCGCAAAACACCAAAAAGGAAAGCCATAATTTCAATTTCGGCAAGGAGTAACAGGACTGAATATCAAAAGAAAGTTGAAATTGTCAGAATTTTCCATTCCGTAAACTTACACCGTTGTTGCATCGTCCAGTAGACTAAAGCATAAATGCTTCACTTGCAATACGACTCTGTTGACTCTGACCTTGGATTTGGATGATAAGAGAGGTAAACATTAAAATCAGTCATTATGATCCTTCAGAGCAGTTTTTTGGAGAATTCGGATAGCCATATGAAATGGACTAAAATTACATAAGAGTGATTTAAGTGATCTTAGTGACAAACAAACCAAGTGGGACAAACGCCCTCTAGCAATCACACTTACATTTTGCATGCACTTTGCAACGCTGTTTCGATTTCTTCAGTGTCGAAAAAATGAATTTTATTGCTTCAGAAGAGAAGACGGATAAAGAACCCGACATTCGCTCAGGCTATAATAGGAAGCATAGATTTACACCTGAAGAAGGGCCGAAGTGTATCAGCTCAGTCTGTGAATGAGAATGGCGACATTTTAACAAAACCTAGCGGAAAGGTGCATCCATGGCCGCAAGCTTAATGTAGAGGAATTTTCTTACACAAAAAGGGATAGTGAATTTAATGAAATGGGTCTTAGTCACATGATGCTAAGATGACCTCTGGATGAAACTTTAAATTTTATAGGAACGCTTATTCTATCGAAAGTTGGAGAACTACCAATAATACTCCCAAAAATGATTTCGAGAACGACAAATTTACTTTAGATGGGCAAAGGGGTGTTGACCACATGGTTTTGTTCGCTTGCTTATTTCTCAAAACTTGTTACGCTTAACACTGCATCATTTGACTATCTCCCTAGCGCACCTCATATGATTAAATCCATGAGTGACGTTCATTCATAGACTGATCCAACCATGAGGTGATGAAGGATCAAAATTTGGCGATCGACTTCGTTCCATCACTATGTCCTCTCTTGGATCCATATTGCAGTGGTTTTAAAAGCCAAATCATACCATTCTACAGTGATGACGATGAAAGACTGTGGAGTACAGTTACGATAAACTGATGTACGTATGCCTTGGCAACACTTTTAGCATGATACAGTTGCATAAGCTTAACCAACCAGTCAGGTACTAACGTTAAGGCATTATGTCCCAACATATATTCGCTCTCTAATCGCTGGGATCGCCAACCCCATTTTAAGCAAAACATCAAAGATGACATTTGTTTTCCGCTGCCACGAGAAAGGTCGATGTGATTTGCGGTACATAGAGTCCTATTACTTTCCGCTCCAGGAGAGGTAAACTCGTCGCAAGAACTGTTTGTGGTGTGTTAAGACATTCAATCCAACATCTCCCGTAGCAAGCAAACTAAAACCCGGTGTGCTTTAACTCTGTAGACTTCTTATTTCCTAAACATAATATATAAAATCCCTTGAATGTTTGGTGAATATCCTGTCCTACCCGTATGTGGCAAGCACGGCAAAGCATAACTTGCGACACTCGATCATAAGAGATACTTGAACCGATTCGTCACTAGGCATAACTATAGTTTTTGGTGCTCTAGCATATTATGCGACACTGCACTACCCAACGCAACTTGAAGTATTCATGACACAACTCCGAAGCATCGCACCCCCAAAGGATGAGAAGTCGCCAAAACCCGCATTCCTACCAAATGACAAACATCATACATTCGCATTATAGTACCCACAAAGTCGCATGAAAACAAAGTCCAGTCAGTAACACACAGCAACAATTTAAAGTATGGATAAGCGCACAGTTTGAATGGAGGCAATGAAGCAGACAAGTTAGTCCTGAAATTCCCATCTATGCACAACACAAAGTGCCGTCTGCTCAACGACCTTCAGAATCCAAAAAAAGTAATAACGACCCAATTCTTACAAATCTTGATGCGAAACCAACTTCAGAGGCAGTGCAAAGCCTCATGCAAAGGTGCCGAATAACTAGAATGTTTAGCTTATAATACGCCTTTACAACAACTGCACCAAAGAGATAAAAGGATGAGAACTAGGTTTGTTAACAGGAAAAATAGTGCCATGCGCAAGTTGTTTGAACCCATCAATCTGCATCGAGAGAAAACCATCCACAGAAGGGCGATTGAGGTGATAGAAGTAAAAGTGATTTAAAAAACTAAATCATGTATTTTCCTTCGAAGAGAAATAAATAATATAAATAAACCGCACGAGGCCGCTGCCTGTCTTACCTGAGCTTGATACGTATGTCCGTTGTCGTGCTGGAGAAAGCGGGGGAATGGTACAGAGGGGACTAGACTTAGTCATCGACAACAAAGGGGATAAAATCGGGTACGGGACAAACATCCCTAAGAGATTCCAACTGATGAGCCCGCGCAAAAGGAGCCCTAGATGGTTCAGAAGCATTTGAAGATGCTTTCGGTGCTGCTGTCAACCCTGATCCCTTTTTTGATCGCCATACATGACGCTTCGTACACTAGAATAAGAGGAAAGCAAATGGCAATGTGCAGCAAAACTAGTTAATTCGAATGGAAGGACTAAGAGAATGAAGTGCCAAACAGACCTCCCTTCCCTGTTCACATCGACCCCGAAGAAACTTAGGACATACGGGAGTATTCTCAGGGTAAGTTACATGGAGAAAAGGGCAGTCATCGCGATGGCACTTCCCAGAAGCAAAAAATTCACACTGGGGAAGGCGACAGGGATCAAGTACATGGGCTAAAGGACACTGTTCTTCACCAAGCAAACATGAGTGTTGAAGAAACCTATGTTAGGGAACACACTGGTAGGTTAATGTTCAGAAAATGATTGAAAATGTGCAAACACGATAACGCCAAGAAATGTGGAGCTTACTTTGGACAAAGTCGAAGATAATTACGATTGTGCGAAAAGCAGCAGTTTTTTTCGTTTCTACAACGACCCGTTTTGACATAATGTGAACAAATCGGTTTTTCATAGCGCAAAAGAGCTATAGCCTTTTTTACCCTCAATCTGCAAAATCAATTTACACAAAGTCTCACTTATAAGGAGAAATAAGCCTGGTGGCCATATTTTCCGACCTTTGTCGAAATGTATTGCAACTTTGTTTACCTTTAACTGAAGAACTGTTACTCCGCAATTTTTGTACTATGGCTGACTTTTTGTACCGTATCTTGTATTTTGATCGAAAAGTAGAGAAAGGGGCACTCGGAATACGTTCCTTATTACGACGTGATAAATCTGCCCTCGGTAGAGACTCGCTGAGAGTGGCGCCTGTAAAGTGGAAGGTTTGGAAACTGAAATTACCACACTGTTCATGAAGCGTTGCGGCGGCCAAACAATTTTTAAGACCAATTGCAGTAGGGTCAATTTGCTTGTTAACCAGGCTCAGTCCAGTTGTCTTGGTTGGACACGACAAAGATGGTGATTTGTACCCCCGCTTGCGGAAGCGATACCTACTAGACACACCTACTTGACAAAGAGATGGTAACAACAGTATTAGTACCTGAGGAGTTTGAGATACTGGCTGACGAAGACTTATCTCGACGGAACCTGTAAGAAGCACGGCTGAAGAAGCCAGTGTTCGATCTACTCCAGCGGAAAGGCATCCTCAGGGTCCAATTAAATAATCCCAACACCATGCATACAGCAGTGACGAACCCGAATGTATGTAGTAAAACAGATACAAAGACATTGTAGAACGCAAATGGTGCTCTAGAGCATTACTTTTAAGACCATTCAATGCCGCATTCCTTATAAAATATTATTCGCGAAAGTCTGGTATCAGAGAAAGCTAGTGAGAGTCGGTTTTGATGGCATTAAAAGCAAACTTATAATGGCCATGCAACGTTGACTCAGGAGAATCGGCTGAACTTCATGAGCAAACAGTTTTGATTTGTGCAAAATTGACGACTCACCGTTAGTGACTATTTTTCAGATCCACAATAAATTGTGCTGAGTTGCTGTCTTTTTAATTTTAAGGTATTTGAGTCGCTACACAGGTTAAGGGCCCAATGGCTTGTGTATAAGATGAAGTTCATTTTATCTCTGTCGACTAATTGCAAGCGTTTTTCACTTCATCACCAGCCACTTTTGTGTTTACATCTGCTCGCCTCAAAGCGGTCCTTTCGATGGGTGGCAGCGGAGCAGGTATGTTTTGGAGACCGTTCCTTGTGTTGCCACTCTTGCCTTAACTCGAATTGTCGCCCAGTTTCTATTATTTTCGCACAAACAGTAGGAGCTGCGGAAATGCCCCTGGCTTACAGTGCAGCAGCAACCCAACATAACGCCACCGTTGTTGGTTACTGTCGAACTGCTTTGGCAGCAGTGGCTGGAGTTGCAGCCGGCATTCTTGGACTCACAGGGATAGTTGGATTCATATTCTACTTTGTATCAAGCATGGTATTATCAATTCTCCTTCTGCACAAGGCTGGTCTGGAGTGGCAGAAGCACTTCCTCAATGGATACACACTTTTTGCTGGGCTCATATTCAGTGAGATAACAACTTACATTCTCTGCTGGACATTTATTTACGGGATGGTTCACGTTTACTAATCGTAGTAATCTGGTTGCTATGCTTGTCTTTTAAGTGGGTACTGGTGGATCTTTACTAAGAAACAAGTGCAACATCTTCTTTCAACGACAGAAGATGCGTTCACAGGTTTATTAAATGAACTACGAAGCACTCATCTTCGACGATCTGAAGTCATTCTTCTGACTGAACCGGTATACTCGCTTGTGCATAGTCTTGGAGATAGGATTTCGAGCCTGGGATCAAAGATCAGACGAGTGGTGCAATAACTACGCAGGAGCCGTGATTCTTAACTATAGCGATAACAGAGAAAAGTAGTTCATTTACATAAAAACGATTTTAAGTCGTAGAACAGCCCGGGTCATGCTTCTCATTCGAGAATGAAGAAGGACGTGGCGATGACGGTCTGGCAATGGAGGCAGGCTCGGTGTGATGCTGATTTCGGTGGAGCAGACATGGGTGCTTTGCCTGCAAGGAAGTTTGCCTCCTGAAACAGTCGTTCCCGTCACGCTGAGAGTGTGCTTTTGACGATTCCTACAATCAAACCGGTAAGATCCTACTATAACTAAGGCGAAACCTTTGCATTTTTTACATTTTTGTGTAAAACGCTGTCTTGAGGTAACTCATCAACATCAGTCTGGGTGCGCTGCTACTCACACGAAGTAGTTACGAAGTCTATAATCTGGTGAACTGAATAAATTTGAACTACACGCAAAGTTATTAATGATTTGTAAAGATCCATCGAAATTCTCACCTCATCCAATCTGATGCGCTTCAAATCAGTCTTCGTTGGGGGAGTGTTCAGAGGTTTAGCGACAGTTTGTTCCGTGCCACGTTCAAAGCTAATTTGCCGCTCAAGGCTAGCCGACGTTAAATTCAGCGTGCTGGATTCCTGAGAAAGTATGAAAGGAGAATCACATTTACCATATGAGGAAGAAACGACTCATTAGCGACATTAGGAGACTGCACTTACCACATTGTTGGAAACATTTTCTTTGTCACGACCAGGCATCTTCGTAGGGAAAGATTTAGGCAGAGGCATAAAGGTAGTACAAGGAACAGCCTCGAAACGCGAGTGCTGACAACTCGAGTAATGTGAAGCGTTTTGTTCTGAAATGTGTCCCACTATATTGGTTTAAAGTACCAGCTATGGGAATAGGTTGTAGCTTTACCTCCAAACCTGGGAACGTTCGAGGTTACTTCGGATGACATAGTATCAGTAGAAGCCGCTGGCTCTAATGTACTCTTAAAAGACGATTTGCGTTTGTAACGTCGGTATTGCTCCGCAACTCGTTTCGCGAAGTTAGCTGCGGTACTTGGTTCGAAAAGGGCATCGAAGGTTGCCCTATATCGGTCGATTTGAATGCTCTTCTCAGCCCCCTCTTCACGAAGCTAAATTCAACAAAATCAGCAACAAAAGATGAAGCTTCCATGAGTGCACAGGAAGTGGCCTCTTCAGGCAACTAACGCCGGCTCGAAATCGATGGATAATACTAGCCAAAGTTCGACGAATACAAAGATGGAACCAGAGGTTGTAAAGACTAAAAGGCATTAGCAATTGCACACTAAAAGACTAAAAAGCTGACCTTTCGAATAAGGAGATTTTTGCATTCCAATTCTGCACGAAGTCGCGCTCTCTCCTCCTTCAAGTCTTTTAGTTCAATACCCAAATCGTTGATAAAAGACGTGGTTGCCTCTAACTTGTCGACTTTTTCCTTGAGTTCTAAATCCTAAAATAAAATTAGGTTACCTATCATGAAATATGGAATCACGCACTTTGCAAATCAATAACCATTAAATCAAAGCTAGTAACAGTAGTATTAAGACAACTGCAATCCCTTGGTAGAAGACTAAGTACCTTGAGATGAAGAATGTGATAAGGGTTAGCCCCTCCGTATGACTCAACAGGAGGCCGTTCCCTGCTTCTCCACGATCGAAGCCATGGAAATACCTAATTACAAACAAGGACATTTTCAAATGAACAAAAAATGGCAACGCGATTCCGGTGACATACTGCTAATAAATCCTTAACTTGACGTTTAAGACACTGTGCAACCTGAAGACCACCGAGGTCCGATTCCGAGCAATCAAACTCTGCTGCAATATCACGAATGATAGCTGCAAAATAAAGCAAGTAGCGGCACCTACATACAACCTCAGATGAGGAGCCCTCCAAACACGCATAACGCTTGCTTTCCGATTCTAATTGTGTCTTAATGTAGGAGATGGTCTTCCGAGATACTTCGTGAGATTCTAGAAAAACATTAAAAAGCGTCTCAAGAATTATATAGGATAATGGCCACAGAGTTGACAAATGAATGCAAATGGTTAAAAGCATAGACGCGTCCAATAAAGGACAACAGGTATAGAAACCATCGTACAATGTCGGCAATCGTAGGACATGAAAGTCATTTTTAATGGATGGAGGAAGACAACCTGTATGAAAACCTTATAAAGAAATATAGAAATATCTCCAAGAACGCGAGTCACCTTGCGCTCGATCCAGATCATATCGTGCATTGCGAAGCTCAGTCTCAAGGATTTCTCTTTCATCCTCAGCCTGCTCACATATTTTCTCAACAATCTCAAAAACACCTGTTCGATTGAGATCAGAATACATCGGTTTTCCTGGAGTTCTGAAGGACTGAGCCAACTGTTCATTCACTATAATACAGTTCCTTGAGCAAACTTCCCTAGAAAGAATAGCATTTTCTTCGTAAACTCGGGTGTAATCATCGCACAACCTTGCCAAATCCTCCGAACTCAATAAATAGAGCAGTCTTTTTATGACGGTAACTAATTTACAGCATTCAGAAGCAATTTCAACAGCATTACAAGCAGCAACTTCAGCTGCGCCAAATGCCGACCGAAGAAGCGAATACTGCATAAGACTTTCGGCTTTCCAAATATCAATTTCTTGGTTATGTACTGGTACATTAACTCCCACAACCGGAAACTCGATTTTCCCTGCCGATGATGCGATTGTAGCCGTACTTGATGATGCAGAAAATGGATTAAGGTCGGTAAAGGAATCGAAATCGCAACAATAGGAACCATCGGTGACAGACAATGAAAGGAGTCTATGAAGCTCCAAAGCATTTTGACGAATTTCGTCAAGCAAACGTCTTGAAAAATCACCTGATTCCATGGCCCAGAAAGAAAGATTGTTGAAAAAACCTGGCATAAGTAAAAATATCTTAAATTGCTGACACAAAGTAGTATATGTAAAGAGCTAATGACTAAATCAAATAGGCAAATAGTAGATTAAAATTTCACAAATCGAATGTGTCACCTCCAGTTATTTGAGAATTAGAGGATAGACTACATATACTGTTAGAGGGAACAAGGGTACACAAAGAACCCAATACAAACCCCAAATATTACAGGGCAAAGGCAACCGGGCGCTATAATACCAACCCGCTTATGACATGCATTGGCAAAACTGATCTATTAAAACAACACGTAACAAGGAGGATATATCAGTTCCATAAGGGCATCAAAAAATAAAAAAAGCCTAAAATACAAACCTAAAGACACGCTGAATTGCTTTAGTCAAAAGCAAATGAATGATTTAAAATTATATTAAAAAATGAACGGGAAGCAGTTACGCGTACATTAAATGATGTAGTAAATATTGACATAATTAAAATTGTCTTCATAAAATTGTAAAAAGCATTTGAAACGCAATTCTAGTTCTAAAAGAATAAAAGAAACCTTCTCAGCTTGAAATCAATTGTGGATTTATTATCTCTTCCCCTCATTTAATTCCATCACGTGTATGATTGGTACTAAAGCTTTATTGATTTAAAAAATTGTTATGTTGCAAGATTTCTTGCCTGGGAGATGCAGTGAGTGAACTAGTTACATGTATTCAAATTGGAACAAATTTCGCAGGCCACAGCCAGGCGTCAAGTGCTTACATTAGTCAAACAACACGGCTTCCTCTAAATGCTTAGTCTAAGCAAGCAGACTTTATAGCTACTGGGGCGTCTTTTAAACATTTAATTTTAGCAGATGAAGACAATCGTGGGGTTTTAGTATGTGTTATGTGAAGAGTAAATGGAATTTGGAGAATTGCTGTAGGAAATGCCTGCCTACTTTCATGCCCCTGAATTGCGGACTTTACGAGAGGATTAGTTGCAGAAGATTTATTTGGTATTAGAATCAGGAAGAATGGGGATCGGAGTAATGATGAGCCCTCACGTACATGATTCGCGATTTAGACTCTTGCAGTTAAGAGTAATGTATTTACCAAGAGGACCATCAAGCATACAGATCTTTAAATTGAACATGCAAAATAATTAGAACAACTCAGACGTAGCTTCTAATGCATTTGCGTTGCTAGTACATTGCATTGAAACTGAACATAGTTCGATATTTTCTCTGCATCTGCTGACTATATATAGTCGAGAATTTGTTACGAAGGTCATGTACGTTGACAAATAGCCGCGCATTTATTGAGGTACGAAAGTATGTATGGTACTTTAATCCGGTTAGCTGTTTTCACTGTTGGTGTTCATCTGTCAACTTTGGGTGTTTTCGTCGGTGATTTTCATTCTTTTTTACATCCCTTTTCTGTACACTTAGGACAGACGCTAACTCATTGCTCTTTGCGGTTTGTGTTGATTCATATTTGTGATCCATATTTCTACATTTACTTATTTGTTGTGTTGTTTCATTCTTGCCAGATATGTTTAGTCGCCTTTCGAACGTGACAAGTTTTACAAGTCTTTTTTTAAGTGAAAGATATTTTCTCATTAATTCGTTATCCTGCCGACTTTACAAATCCGCTTCAAAGTTGACGATTGTACATTCGCCAATTGCGAAATTCTTCGGAAGACAAGGCGTTAAAGATTTCTCTAGTCACGGCGTATTTGGCTCTCCTGAGCCTAGGAGTCCATCAAGGAAACCCGCTGAGCAAGATGATCTGAAGGATATGCTCAAGGGATACACTCCGGTTGTGCAACTGCAACTTGTCGAGGCCTACAGGCGGGGAATTCAATCCAATACAAATAGTCAAAAGAGAACTGCATTTCAAACCATCTCGTCGTTGATAGTAAGGGTGATAACGATTGGTTTGGGAGCTGCTTTGGTGTTTTTCTTAATCCGGTCCCCTGAGCGTGGTCTCGGTGGAAGTTTTTCAAAAATATTTGATTCATCTATAGCTTCCTTTGCGGACAACGTCGATGTGCGATTTTCTGATGTTCAGGGTGTAAGTTATACTAGCGTTTATAGTAATAATTTGTGACGCATAGATAGTAAGAATTTACTGAGATTCCGCTCTGGCAATCGTTATGCGCTTACTTGATCTTTTCCAGTGTGATGAGGTGAAGAAGGAGCTTGAAGATATTGTTGAGTTCTTGCGTAATCCAGAAAAGTTCGCCAAACTTGGGGCAAAGCTGCCCAAAGGTGTACTTTTAGTTGGTCCCCCTGGAGTAGGGAAAACTCTTCTCGCTCGGGCCGTTGCAGGCGAGGCTCAGGTACGCTCTCCATAATCTGGAACCTAGATGTTTTACCAATCAAAGAACTTCCTTTGGAATCAACTGATAATGTAAAGTCTTCATGGTTTATTGTTCTTTACTGCTAGGCATAACTTCGCATTTGTAAAACCTAATTTTCTCACTCTGCTGTTTAATTTTTGAACCCCCTCTTACAGGTGCCATTTCTGTATGTGTCAGGAAGTAATTTTGAAGAAATGTTTGTTGGTATGGGCGCTTCCCGCGTAAGGCAGTTGTTTTCAGCGGCGAAGGAACATGCTCCGTGTCTTATCTTCATTGATGAGATCGATTCAGTCGGTCGATTTCGGTCTTCTTCGCCCCTCCACCCCTACGCCAACCAGACCATCAATCAATTACTTGCAGAGATGGATGGCTTCGAACCATCGGAGGGAATAATTGTCCTTGGAGCTACAAACCAACGAGATGACCTTGACAAAGCACTTTTGAGACCTGGTCGATTTGACTTCCAGGTCTATGTATCACCACCCAGCTTTGAGGTAAACCTCGACAAACATTCATTGATCTCTATTCATGGGATCGAATTATGCGCAAAACGTGAACACGATTTACCGCCTAATCACACCTGTAAAGTTTATCATTAATCTCCATACTAATGTGCTCATGCACTATAGAATCCAACATTGTGCTTGTTAATTCTAATCGTCAAGGGTAATCGAGTGTTTGTTTCTACCTTGTGCGTTTACGAGAATGATACTTTAATTTTATGGACGAATTTACCGTGTAGAATTAAAGATATGTCTTATTGATTATATTTAAATGTCTTAACTTTAAAAAGAGCAATTCGCTTGATGGTAGTAGTAGTTTTCAAGTCTCAATTAAATCCGGTTTTGATTTTGCATTAAATGCTTCAACTTAACCCCACATTTTCTGCGACCAATGTATTGAAAGTGATTCACTTCATTTGAAAGTTGTCAGTTTTTTGGCTCTGTGAATCGTAGGGGCATTAGTAAATTTGGTTCAGTCAAAGTTTGTTTGAAACTCTGATGATGTGTAAATCAAGTACGGGAGGTAGTTTGACAGTCAATGATGTCTTCAGAGCTTTCACTATCTGGCACCTAAAATGCGCACTTCGCCCTCATTGGACTATTCTAAAAGCCTCCAAACCAAACCTTATTTTTTTGAAGGGTCGAGTAGCACTTTTCCGGCTCTACCTATCAAAGATCAGGGCAGCGGCAGAAGTTGACGTGGAGAAGCTCGCCCTGGGTACTGTAGGTTACACTGGCGCTGATATCCAAAATCTCGTCAATCAGGCTGCAATCACAGCTGGCCTCAAGGAGGAGCCTGAGGTTACCATGGCCCACCTCTGGGATGCTCGCGACCGCTTGTTGATGGGGCCAGCTAAGCGTAGACCCCTTGACGATGAGAGTAACAGAGTGTCTGCCTACCATGAGGCTGGTCATGCTCTCATGACGCTCTATACCAACGACAGCATTCCGCTACATAAGGTTAGAGGAGCACCAACTCATTCTGTAACAGTTGTTATCCACACGTACGCACAGTGCGTGTTGTTATCGTTTTCTTTGCTTAATCAGGTGACCATTATTCCACGTGGAGAGTCTGGTGGGCACACAAGCCTTCTCCAAGACAAGGATTCAAGCTTTTGGACGCGCTCTCAGCTTATAGCTCAACTGGATGTTCTCATGGGGGGTCGCGTTGGCGAGGAAGTGGCTTTTGGACTAGACCACGTAACCACTGGCGCCGGAGACGACTTCAAGGTTGGTTTTTATGCGAAACCTTATTTTAACAAAGTCTTCCTACTCTTCATGGTTGATCAGCATTTCACTTTTAACGAGATCTAGTTTACTCGTTGATCAGCTGCTGACCATTGCTGGTAGTTAATTCACATTTGCAATATTCTCTTTTATATTAGCGAATTCGGGTTCTAACTTAATGTCAGTAAGGCTTAAGCCCTCTTCTAAATGGTTAGTGGTAGTATTCGATTGTAAGATTAGTCACGTCATGTCAATTTGGCAGAAGGCAACGGTGATTGCTGAGAATATGGTAAGCCGCTTTGGCTTATCGAAGAAACTAGGACCACGGGTATTCGTCGACTCCCACCAAGATGGGAGTCAGCTGAGCCAAGCGACGCGCGACGCTATCGACGGCGAGGTGGACGATTTACTCAACGCTTCTCTAACCCGCGCTCGTGAGGTACTTAGTAAGCACCGTGAGGAGCACCAAACCTTGGCTGAGGCGTTACTTTTCTATGAGACACTCAGCAGCGACCAGGTTCGCGATGTACTCGACGGAAAGCTGAAGGTTCCCAAGGGTCCTCGACCCGTCAGGCCTGGTTCAGCGTCGTTGCCAAAGGTTCCCTTAAATTCGAGCCCCCAAACTAGTGCAGGAGCTCGCAAATCCAACTTGGGAGAATGTACAAAAATGCAGGTGTGAAGACACCAAAGATCGTGCTGTATCGAGATCGACTCAATCTGTTTTGAGCTGCTTTTGACCTTCTTCTTAATAGTTGCATGCGAAGCCCTGGAAGTTAGTCGGTGAACACTTTCTCTAAGTCAACCATGAAATTTAGTGAAAACAGGATATCTAGGCTTGAGGCTACTCTCTAGATATAGAGTTGACCTCTAGCCTCACCTCAATTGGGATTAGGATGCACCTTCCCCGCACAACGTCTGATACAAGTGGATACATGAGTGGTGCTTTCCAAGGCATTAGTTGTGCAAATCAATTGCTCCGCAAACTACCAGTTGGGTGCAATGACAGAGTCATGGATTCATTTAATCGCCGCTGATGCGAAATTTGCCTTGATGGAGTGATTCCAAGTCATATCAGCGTACGGTCAGAAGATCCAGCAAGACAAAAAAGGTTATCTATTCGCTTGTACAAAGTTATAGGGGTAACCAAAAAGAATCAAGGTTTGGCTTAGCTTGATAGTCCACTTATGGAAATAAGTAGTGCAAATTGGTAGGGGTAATCAGTAAGAATTAAGAGTGAAATTCGGCCAGAAGATGTTGCGTTTGATTTCGAGGAATACTGAGATGCAATTTAACGTGGGCTGCAAGCAGTGCCGCTCCAACAGCTACCGAGGATGTGAGTAACGTAAGACGGAGAGAATTGACGACCCCCTTGGTCTTTAAATCTGGCAATACGCGATCCCGGAATCCTGAAGAGAGATGGAAACTTGCGGAACTGAGTTTTGTTGCCGATTCTGTATCTTAGAGGTGCCGCAGTTTATTACAAGAGGTGAACTAGTAGCAATCAGTCAAACTATTGAAAGTTGTCATGGGTAGTCGGTGGTGATGTGGTCAGCTGATAACGCGAATAACTGCTAACGGGTACACGGGAAGGGGCGTAGAAACATACACTGCTAAGAATGGTTTCTTGTCCCATCCTCACATAGCTAACTCGAAAATCGTCCAGAATGGTCACCCATTCATTTCAGGGATTAAGGTTCTGAGTTTGACAAATATATGGATTCTTTGGTAACCCACCACATTCAAGAAGATCCCAACTACGAAATACACCTCCTCTGCAAACAACGGTGACGCCTTCAGGTTTCATTCTCCACTCCTACAAAGTACATGACCCATGAAAATATAAGCGGTGTGTACTCCTAACTCTTTTAGGAAATAAACAGCACGATATTTGATTATTTCAAATTTTGAAATTTGGGTGTAATTAGAGTGCCATATTTAAGAAGAGCAATTACGTTTAAAAGACGCTCATCATTGGCTCTTGGGAACCAACAAGATAATGGAAGTTTTAAGACCAACAAAATTATAGTTTGAAGAACTTTTCAAGTCTAATTCAATGGTGTCCCCTCCACTCACGATTACAATTGTTAACGCCGATGTCTATTGATACGCAAATAGCAACGCCAAAACGTACAGGATCTGCCTTTTGAAGAACGGCCATAACGTGCGCACCCAGAAAGAATCCCGCCTTGTAGAAAATGTGTTGGCACAAGGCGTCTCCAGAGCGAGCCACTGGAGTGCACAAGGTTTATACTTTGACTCACCCAAACAACCCATAAAGTTGAAGACTTACACTCTGCTAATTTTTTGCACAACCCAGAGTAGTAACTCTTCTCGAAATGGTAGTGCGGTTCAAGAAGGTCAACATTATTTTGTAGACTGAAGTAGTCAAAGATCGCCCTCTTGACTAAAGAGGTATCATGCAGTGTTAGAACAAGCCCTTCATCATTATCCAAATAGGTTTTGATTGCACGGTGAACAATCCAGAAAGCTGGAACATAAATGAAAGTAATACCGACACTTTCCAACCAATCATTAAAAGATGAAAAAAAATACACACAACGGATAAAGGTGAGGAAGTCTCACACAGCGGTAAGTGTGCGGAGCGCAAGTTTTGAGAGGGATAATTAATAGTAATCTAGCACTGGGAGATCTCGTTGACTGAAATTCACGGTTACATTAAGCTACAAGTCACTGGAAAGGTATAATGCAGAGATTAATACTATTAGCAATGTAAAATAAGAACTCGGTCACAGTATTATGATCGGGGAGAAGTCTCGACGACCCAAAGGGGGTGAAATAGAGAAAATAACCCACCAGAGCCCTCGTCACCGAGCATGTGACCGTAGCCTCCAACACCATAAGATGAAAGGTCCTCATAAATAAGCTTGCAATTTGAACCTGTTCCTGCTATGAGCACAATTCCACCTAGCGAAATATAAAAACCAAGCAACATTAATGTGGCGGGATGTAGGCATGATGATGAAAACAACGTATCCTTCCAATAGAGAAGGACGCCAAGTCCATATCAAATTCAGTCATCAAAGGTAGAAGACAACAAGTCAAATTTACGCTAGACGGCTGTGATACTGCAGTTGACGGTAAACAACAGCCACTTCTGGCAATAACGCAAAATGCTCCAGAGATGGTCTAACATATATCATCAGCTCGGAATAGTAAAAATTGCTTGTAGCCAACCAGCATTTAAAATTAGACACGAAATTTGCTATTAAGTAACAATCTAACTAAAGATTATATCCGCGAACGAGAAAATACTAATTGCGAAAAACTTATGCGAGGAAAAGAACACAAGCAACAGGACAAAGAACCCAACTTTTCCCACTGCGATACGAAAACACTTTCGTGAATTTGGTCTTGTAATAATGTGTAACAGCATTGTAAACAATACCCAACTGTGCCACTGACCACTACAAATCAATTGGAAAATCTACCGGTTTAAACATCACCTTTATCAGTGACGGAAAATAAAGTCCCTTGGCAATCATTACAGACAAAAATATGGTCGGTAAGGTTGGGCCTTGTTCTATGAATTTCAGTTTCAATATCGCGAGAATTCTCATCCGAATCAACGCCACTCAACGACAGACCCTATGAGAACATTTTGGTTGTTATTTACCACACTGTACTGGAAAAATAGAAAATCAGGTTCCTCTAAAGCCAAACTGTGTAAAAATACAAAGAAACAATTAAAATTCGATATTTTTCAATTTTCATCAAATAAAACTGTATAGAGAAACAATCACTATAAACATTTAGACTATAGTAACGTTCGTTAGCCCCTTTTATGAACATAACAGACATACGATTGAAATAAATTTGGTACTGAGAGGTAGCTTTGCTTTATTCAATGCCGAGTCGATGAGATCAAGTGCACGCCTCACGGCCGTTTTGACTCCTAAAATCTACACAATGTGAAATGATTGACGAAGCATCCAAAGCAAACGTATTCCCATACCCATTGGTTAACGTGTGGTCCATTAACTTTTGAACACTCCTTCCCATCCGCAGAAAGGATGACAACTTCAGTCGATGTTGAGCCTCTAATGGGATGCAGCATTGAAACCAAAATGATATCACAATGGTACAGTCAGTGTCTATCCAAATTAGCCCTTAAATCACTACCGAAACCTAAAGGCACCGAGCAGCGAAAATGAAAGCATGTTTGTGAAGGCAAGTCAAGTAGAAGGCCTACCAGTAAAAGTACTTATAACAGACCACCAGTTCAGATTATAAAATATCCTGTTGAGGAAGTCATCAGCTCTAAAGTATGTCATCTATACGGCCCTGCTGCCATTTAGCAATGTTTGAGAATTGCAAGGACCTGACACTCAACTAACCCCTCCACGCCGCAGACGTAGCAACACATCCGAGATTCAAATTGAGAGCGCACACAGACGGTCACTTAAACATAACAGTGGGGATATCTTAAGTGTGTGTACAGTATCCGAAAATCACTTTTTATAAGAACATGGACCTTTATTTTCTGCAGTACGCTGATAAACAGATTCGCATATCTGCAATTAAAGCACCTAATTTATTACACTTATCAATGGATTTGACCAAGTTTGTGTACGTAAACTGAAACTATAGAAGCTAGACAGCTGTTGGTCCCAAAGCTGTTTTACGCGGCAAACCCAAAGCGGTAGTATATCATACAAGTAGTCAGATAAACAATGAGACACGGGTGTAGCATCCTGAGAATTCCAATGGGGTGGAAGAAGGCAGTAAGTGTGGCTAAAATACGTGTGTTCTGAAGAGAACGGCCCAAATGAGCCTGAGCATGGTCCGACAGCTAGCCCACCAGTACAAGGGCCAGATAAATCTTAAAGTGACCACCTAACATCAGGGAGCACAAAACGAAGTATTGCAGCGGGTATTTTTAATTTCACTCTGAGGTCACGTATTCAAAATTCTCTTTAAATGCGGTGTTTGAGCTGTTCTTCCCTGAGTGCATCCGTAGATTCTCAATGCTCCTCACTAGGCACAGATTGTTCTGAAGTAGGACTGTATGCGCATATTCAACGAGAATGGACTTTGACTTGGCCTACACAGGCGTAGGAGCTCGCTGAGGTGGTTGTTTGCCCACGGTAGAGAGGAGATGCATCACTATTCCCTCGCTGTTTGATAGGGACGACAGGACTATCACAATTGCCGCAATAGACGTTTACTTTGCTCGCCTCCTTTTCGTAATGTACACCTTTAATGCTTAGAATGCCTACCAAAACTCTACAAAGCATTGCATGCGCAAAAGTGCATAAAAAATGAAAAATAATATTAGTTGGCGTTTCTTCCTCGAGTTCCAGGGAGGGGACTGCTGATGTGCTTCTCTTCCCTTAGTTCGCCAATACATTGAGGTCCGAATCGCTTTAGTTTCTACTATCTAGTTTGTATGGATGTGTGTGGAAGCAGATAAGGAGTAACAGGGCTATTGTTCGGAAGCTTCTGTGTTAAGTTAAAGGAAAAGTTCACCTCTGCGGCAAGGTATGCCTCAAAGGTGACGCTCTTATGCGTGTGCTTCAAGTTGAACTATTCGTGGAGATGAAATCGGTGCTGCAGCATGAAAACTTTTACGCCCTCAATAGCACCAAAAGTTAATGTGAGCATGCATAAAGGGAAAATAAGTAAGTCCTGTGTGTTGGCAAACTTTATTCCACCATACGATATATAATTTTCTTACAGTTTCTGAGTATCTCGTAGAAGTAGGACAGTAATGTACACTGAATTGTGTCAAGATTGCACTCTCGATAAGGTAGGACCGGCATTGCCGGAGCGCGTGATTCACATGAAGAGAGAAGTCGAGAAGTCACATACACACCAGTCCTACAAGAGCGAAAGTCTTCCATTACTGAACGCACCCTTCTGCGGGGAGTTCGAATTGAGCTGTTGAGGTCGTTCTACCCGATGCTTGCGCACTCGACGTTTGAGGACGCCGATGTAGCGGGCCAACCACTTGCATTTTGAGACCACCTCTTCTTGCATCAACTTGAAGCACATGGCAAATACGGATAAGCCCACTGCTACGTACACAGTGATGATAATGAGCTTTTCTTGGGGATTTGTCGAGTCGATCTTGGTACCTGCAAGCAAACCTTTACCACTTTTACATCCATCCAAATGCACCTTCAAAGCTTTTAGGTGCTAAATTGGCTCCCGGTTGAAAGTGATGTGTGACGAAAATGAATATTTAAAAGTGAAAGGAGGCTTTTGAATGAGTGGTACGATTGTTCATATTGCATTAGCAAGTAACTGTCGGAACCATTTCGTTTCTTGCACTTTTCCTTCATTTTCCTGCAGCATGACTTCTTATTCCTCATTCAACAAACAACCGAATGGTTGTCATTTTTATGTGGGTCTCAAATTCCTTCCATTCACGGGTGGTACTTCAACTGTTCCAAATGTACGCTATCTGCGTTGCTCTATTGCTGAGATAGTAGAACGATGAGTGTGCTAATGAAATGAATTTGGTTTTTCAAGCTACAGTTTTGAGGCGTCACAGTTTGATGTAGAAGCTGCCCCATCATGTCGTGCAGTCATTCAGAAAGTCGCATTTG